GGACGGCTAGCGCAGATAGCCCTTGTGTAGCTTTGCGCGAAATTCAAAACAAACAAGCAAAGGTGCTGATTATTGTTTGAGGCTAGTAATTGGAGTCTAGTTCTGGATGAATTCAGTTTCTAATTTACTGTAATGTGTCTGTTTGGCAACCAGATTTTTTTTTTGGATTCGTATTGTGTTTGAACACATCCAATAAACATCACTCAACTGTGATGCATATTCTACAGAGACATCATAATACGTTTTTCAACCTTTTAAATGAATTGTTTGGAATAATGATATTCCTCAAGTTGTTTAATTGCCTGAGGGAAGAACGCACGAGCCTGCGTTTGTTTTTGTTATGCAAGATAAAATCGAAGATGAACTTAGAGCAGAAAGACAATAACAAAAATCAAACCCAAATTTCATTTTTTGAATTAACCTTGCATTACTGAAATGACCACGGCTAGACTAGGCCTATAAAAGGGTTGGCATTTTAAGTGGAAATACTCCAAGCAATGCTGCTTCTGAGTTAGGAGTGTCATAAAATGTTATTTCTAGGTTGGGGACTAGATGCTAGGAAAACAGTGTCCGAGTCCCTGACAGAAGCAGGTCACGCTTCACAATGTAATGTCAGGTTCATTACCTTTGTAAATTGGCTTAATAAAACTGTCGCCTTGTCGATAATGTGAAATTCAGTTGCTATTTTTGAAGTGCATAAAAATCAGTGTCACCATAACCCATGCAAGGGTACATGTCATCTTGATCCAGCTGGAGGATATTTTTCTTATCTCGGATCCTTTCCCTTTAAGTCCATGTTAGCTGTATTCTTTATATAAAACAGTGTCGCTGTGTGTATAGTGTTTTTTAATTATTTATTATGAAGCATAAACTACACAATGGAGTATCCGTGTTGTTCCAACCGCGAGTATCGATACCCGATTTTTTGCGCTATAAACTCTGACTTAACGTTGAATCACGGAGATGCAGACTTTTAGTAATTGTGACGCTCGTGATGTGTTGTTGAATTGTTTTTCTCTTAAATGCAATATCAGTTATATTGTTGTTTGGTACCGTTAAGTTACTCTACGTTAATGAAAGTAAAAGTTAATCCTGTGTATATCTTGTAACTAAATGTTTTTGTTTTGTTTTTTCCTGTTTAACTCCATGACGACCACAATAATCGAGTCTTCAGTGTGGTTCTCAGAAGCTGGGGTAAAATGTCTTGCATGATGAACCTACTGATCTGTATGTACATCGATAAGATCGAAATAACATTTTAGCAGTCACTGTCAGATCTTTCACAGGTGTCATTGAACCCAATTTCATTTTGACATACGGATTCCACTTGAACTTATCGTCATTGTTTAACATGAACAAGAAATTGTGAAAATTAATTGGCCACCATTTTTCCGCGGATCTCAAACACAAAAACACATGGAACCAAACAGTTTGAGGGATGCTTACACATCAAACACTCTATATCAGCTAGGAAATGCATTTGTAAGGCATTGGGGAAACACTCCCCAGAACTCCATTCAAAGACTCAAAAAGAGCCGTGTAGCCCTTTGAAGTTGAATATACCCAAAACCTGGATGGACATAAACATTCTTAGAGCTTTAACCTTTGTCCTTTCAGTAATTTGGAAGTTATAGCTGTAGAAGGAGAGAGACATGAACGTGTAGTAGAATCGTTTTGTTTCATTATTGTCTGCTTATAATTTCTAAAAATTGTGAATGAAGTCAGATAATATTCTATTTTGATGATTGATTATCGTCATCTGAAACACGAAAATGAAATTAGACTTGTACTAAACAGTCCTATCAAAACCCTAACAAATGCGATGATCCTCCTTACTTTACCATTTTAGGCCTTTCGGCTGACATAAGTTTAGATCAGTTGATGAGTTCTGCCACTTAACGACAGGGTTATTGGGCAACAGGTTGTGGCAGCCAAAAAGATTGGCCTTATTTTTTATTTATTTTTAATTACACATCTTACATATTTACTTTATTACCGATCCCAAAGATGGGTCGGAGGACAGAGCGAAGATAGCCCATTATTTAGGTTTGCGCTAAAAGAAGAAGAACAACAACAACAACAACTTTGTTATGCATTTTCTATAATAGTAAATTGACAAACAACAATTTACAAGCATAATGAAATGGACATATTTTGAAGATCCGTGTTTCAATAGAACATTGGCCTGTCTTCTAGTATGTTTCCCAAAATAAAACCATTTCATTGTGCTTATAACTCATTGTTTACCATTTTACTGCTATATTAACATAATGTTTCCATACACAAGTACCTCCTATATTATTACATTTGCATGCCATAAATAAGAACTTAACAAAGTTTTTCTAGGGCCGTTGGAAGCGGTAAGGCCACTTTTTCATAGCAAGTATAGCTACAATTTATGTATTAAAACTTGCTTCTTTTAACTCGGTATATTACGTTGTGTGTATGCGGTATTTGTAGTTAAAATGGCTCAAGATTCAATCTCATAGCATTAAATTTTCAAACATTTTCTACCCTAGAAATGGCATGCTTTTTACACATTGCGTGCCACATTGTTTAACTGTGGCAATGGCCTGACTACTCCAAAAGTACTTCCTACGGCAATGTTTTCGGTTAGAAAGAATTAGTTTTCATAGAGTTAAGAGTTGTAACTGTTTAGCAAAAATTTCTTATAATTTGTGATGACATACCTTCCGTGAAATTGAGATGATGGCTAAATTTGAGAAAGAATCAAATGCGTCTTGTACGTATTGCAGTACAAGTTATTGTATCACGAATTCTGAATAACAATTGTTAGTGTTAACTGCATACAACGCAGATTTGTTATTATACTTTTTTTAAAGATTGTCATGTTACGTACCTATGTTCTTGTCGGAATCGTGTTGAGCTCTGTCTTCTTGGTTTTCCGTCATATTTGGCTCAGAATGCCTGCGTATTCGCTTTTGGTTTGACATCTTCCTCTTAGAAGTTTCATTATTTTGACTGGATACTTCCGTTAAGGCACGTTCTGGAAAATATAAATCCTTAAAGATATTTATGTCTTGTCTTGCACAATTTACTTCTTAAGATAAGTTTGTTGTAGGGTTCTTTGGTAGCAATCATTTTCAGTAGCATTTATACTGTATAGCAGAGTTCCACAATTATTCTCACACTGGGTCGCTTCAGATGACGAAAAAAAAAAACATAATCGGGACAGTTTCTTGAAGACGCTAACATTCCCTAGTTACAGTTTTGCTTACACAGCGTGGTCACAAATAAATAGACACC